CAGCACCCACCCAGCCATCCCTCCCTTCCCCACAGCACCCAGCCAGCCATCCCTCCCTTCCCCACAGCACCCAGCCAGCCATCCCTCCCTTCCCCACAGCACCCAGCCAGCCATCCCTTCCTTCCCCACAGCACCCAACCAGCCATCCCTCCCTTCCCGACAGCACCCAGCCAGCCATCCCCCCCTTCCCGACAGCACCCAACCAGCCATCCCTCCCTTCCCCACAGCACCCAGCCAGCCATCCCTGCCCTAGCCCTGTGCTTCTCCAGGACATTCATCAGTGACTGACACTGTACACTGATCCTAAGAAAATGTGAATAAAAAATCAGTTTTCAATATAGGGTTCTTTGGTGTGAAAATTAGTTACCCCAAGGTTATCCATAACTGCCATCTACAAAACTACCCCCAAAGATAAAGGACATGCTTTCATTGTATACCCTCAGTGTCGACACTGCTGGCACTGGCCGAAGGCCAAGTTTCTGTTTTAGAGAACACCGGGTGGTGGTGCCAACACTTGACCACTGTTGCCCCCTGGCATCTCAGCATATTTTTATGCTACTTCCAGTTTCTTATTGCAGAGAACTAAGGCTCCAAGCAACTAAAAGCACTTTCCCCATTAAGGCAGCTCATTTCAAATGACTCTGAACTGAATTTAAACTATCTGGAAACAGAACTGGCCCAGCATCTGCGTGATACATAAAGGCTTACCAACTGGCATCGGACCGAACTAGAGTCTATCTGTTTCCAGTTTACACATCAGCTTCTACAACTCCGGGTCTCTTGCAAACAGCCCCACCAAAGCCACAGATATTTGGACCAATTCCAGGATTCTCTAGCTTCTACTTAATTGTGTTTTAAGAAGTATATAAAAATATACCCAGGAATCTTGTCTAGTAAAACCCAGTGGTAGATGCAGGTTTTGTGTGGCATGAAACAGAGGATTTGCATGGTCTTCCCTAGGAATAAAATTTAAAAACTGTGAATGCACGCCAGGCATAGTGGTGCTCACTTTTAATCCCAGTACTCGGGAGGCAGAGGCAGGCGAATCTCTGTGAGTTCAAGGCCAGCCTGGTCTACATAGTGAGTTCCAAGTCTGCTGGGGCTACAGGGAGACCCTGTCTCAAAAAGACCAAAAAAAAAAAAAATTGTGAATGCAAAATTAGGTGCCCTCAAACTTCAACGGGATTATATCACTATCAAAACTTGAAATCAGGCTGCGCATAGTGACACACACCTTTAATCCCAGCCCTCAGGAGGAAGAGGTAGGTGGATCTCTGTGAGACTGAGGTCAGTCTGGCCTGCAACATAGAGAACTCCAGGCCAGCTAGGGCTAGAGGGAGACCCTGCCTTGAAAATAAAAAAACAAACAAAATTGAAACTATGGTAAGTCAAAAATGCATTTCATCCACCTGACCTGAACACAATAGCTTACCAACACAGCACCCTGTAGAGTGTCGATGGTTTTACCTCACAACCACGTGGCTAATGGAGAGTTGTGCTTGACACCACTGACCAACATGAAAAGACAGACAGTACATCACTAGCCAAGGAAAAACGTCACAATCAAAGTATGGTTTCTAATGAATTTATATTGCTTTTTCCACTATTGTAAAATCAAGCTACCTTAAGCTTCTTAAGTAGGAACCATCTGTATTTATTACAAGGTGAAAAAAAAAATCTGAAAATTCAAAGACTTAAGAGATTCAAGCTCCTTTTAGGCCTAGCATGGTGGTGCACACTTTTAATCCCAGCGTTCAGGAAACAGGCAGGCAGAGCTCTGTGAGTTCAAGGCCAGCCTGGTCTACATAGTGAGTTCTAGGCCAGCTGGGGCTACAAGGAGACCCTACCTCAGAAAGCTCCTTTGTTTAAGGTCTCTTGAGTAACAGAAATGCTTCAGGACTACCTGGCTTCCTCTCCCCCTAGAACACTCTGTTCTAGGGTATCACAAGGCATCTTGCAAATGTGGACTCAGTGCTGAAACTCGGCAGGGGAGCGGGTGGGGGGGATGATT